TTACACAACCAAAGTTTGGACCTCGGGCCTAGCGGGGCTGACCGGCGTGGATAACGTTAGCTCGTTCGTTGCCCTCCAGCCTCCCTCCTCTGGCATGATTGCGGCGGGCACCCATGCTACACTATGTCCGGTGTGTCGTCCAACCTCACTTCGCAGTTGAACAGGGAATTGCTATCCTCGCGAGCCGGCCATTTTTGTGTACCTCGAAACCTTACTCAGACAAATAGAGACAATCAGCGGGAGGATTGGCTTGCGCCACCCTTCCCGGGGGACGGTAGGAACTCTCGCCTACGGCTTCGCCCAGACTCACCTCGCGCGCGCTACCCCTTGGCGGTCCCTGACCCCGTGGTACCACGAGTGCCCTTCTTTCATTTCCCAGAGGTTCGGACCTCGGGCCCAGCGGGGCTAACTGCCGTGGATAACGTTGGCTCGTTCGTTGCCCTCCCTCCTCCGGCCTGAATTGAGGCGGGCGCCCATGCTACACCATGTCCGGTGTGTCGTCCAACCTCACTGCGCTGTTGAACGGGGAATTACTCTCCTCGCGAGCCGGCCATTTCTGCGTACCTCGAAACCTTACTCAAACAAATAGAGAGGAACTGGTCATTTCTGCGTACCTCGAAACCTTACTGAGACAAATAGAGACTATAAACATGGGCTAATCATCGCGATCCCTACAAACGGCGTCAATGATGGTTTTATTGGGACCGGGTCCACCATAAACCGGGTATAGGATGGGGTAGGAAAACCCGGGGCACTAAGCCCAATGTAGTACGTACACAGCCCGAGGTACATGCCCAGAATGACGGCCCAAATACAAAGAATAAGGCCCACGGGGTGGGCTATAGCTAACTATGCTACTGATGGAAATCGAACCCAGGTGAGAGGGTTGAGAGAATGATATCAGGACCGCTAGACCGTAGTGCTGGTCGTCTCTCAGTTGCCCTTAACTAAATATCCAGGGCCCCTATTTATAGCAGGCCCCCTCCCCCTTTGGTTGTCCACGTGTCCCTCTACTCAGACGCCACTCCCTCGTTTGTCGCACAGCAGTCCGCACGTTCGCCACGAATCGACGCCCCCACCTTCTTTCCCGCGCACCCCACGGACCCCGGGTAGACCGCCCCTGGTACCGGTGTCTGCACGTCCCCGCCGTGCGACAGGGGGCGGTAGGCCTGCACCCAGCCATGCACCGGGCACACTGGGTGCGCCGCCATCGGCCCTCCCTGGCCGGCCGCTGCCCTCGTGACCTCGCACGGGGAGCGCTAGGCCCGCGCACCGGGCAGGCCCTCGCCGGCGACCTGACGCTAGGCCCGCACCCAGTCGCGCGCTGGGTGCGCCGCCGTCAGCTGGGGCCAGCGCCCCCGCCGGCGGCCCTCCCCGGCCGACCGCCGCCCCCGTGACCTCGCACGGGGGCGCTAGGCCCGCGCCTCACCGCGCACCGAGCGCGTCATTTGGCCCCAGCCGGTGGCCTTCCCCGGCTGCCCTCGGCGTGCTCCCACTCACCCCCCTGGATTTGTTTGGCCTAACATCGTTAGCCCAATAAGTCCTCAGCCCCTATCCAATATCCCCATCAATTGCTGACAGCTCATGTTGATTATTTGTTATAATATGAAAATTATATATATTTCAAACATTACATCTTTGGCTATAAATATCTCATTGCGTTTGCAGATTTACATTCAAACATTACATTTTTTGCTTGACGACATTGCTTCTTTCTTTATTCTGTATGTGAAGTTTGTTTTCTTTTTATCAACTTTTTCATGCACAGTATTTCATGCCACCATATTTTTGGTGTGAATCCAAAGTTCAATGTATTTCAACTAAATTTCGCGATTTTGCTTTTCGATTTAGGGGTTCGTTCATGTGTGATGTGCCTTCTTTGAGGGTACGGCCAAAGGAAGTTGAATGCCTGATCCTACAGACTTTGTATTTCGTTAGCTCGTACGAGGCATCAACGAAATGTCGTGCCCAAATAGTCATGACGTCAAACAAGTCTACGCTAAGGAGTACACCTGAGTCCCTAAAATAGAACTCCAGGGAAGCTACGTTTCATAATTGTGCTAATGAGTTCCTGGAAATTCAATGCAGAAATTAAAATTCAACCCAATTTCTTTTGTAATTTATGTACTTTTCAGTATATGAATATATGATGTATATCCAAGTTGTGTAATTTGCGAAAGAGAATTTGTATTTGTATACATTTATATCATTATCACGATTTCAGTATATGAATATATGATGTATATCCAAGTTTGACTACTATATTATTGTATATCATATCAATTGCAATTTAATTTTATTTTTTTTTTCATTTTTTTAAAACACAAATTCATATTCGTTTGGTATATTAAACTAATATTCATTGTGATTCTACCCAATCTCCTTGGTTCATATACAGTACCTCTATACCTACGTCACAACTTCCAGTGCTTCAAACATACATACGAACTAATAAGCATTCATTATACAGTACTTTTTTTCGTTTTTATATATTTACATATTTTGTTAAATCCACGACTATTGTTTTTATTGCAAAAATGATCATTCCGAAGACGAACCCTAATATGCTCTTATCTCATCAACCCGCCATCCATTGCCGATCTTCATCTCCTTTATTTCAAAGGAAAAACATAATGGCTACATCAATTGTCATTTCCAAACCCAATTTTTCGTCTCTAGCAATTGGTTTTTTTTTTTTTTTTTGGTACGATTTTTTCACACTTTGGTCTTAATAAGAGGTCAACAGCCGTCCAAGATTGCAAAGTCAATATAAATGTCTATTTTATCCCTGCTTGAAATAGAGAATTTTTTTCTCCTGTATGATTTTGACGAAAAATTGGCCGAAAGGACCATTTTTTCAACAAAAAACAATAGACGTGGACTGAAATTGCAAGGTTTGAAACTCGCGGATCAATCATAATAGTACCATTATAGTTGTGGGACAAAAAACTCTTACAACTCGTTTGGTTCGCTGGAAAATATTTGAAGGGAAATGGAATTGAAATTCCATGGAAAATAAATTCCAAGAAAATAGATTCCATTGTTTGGTTGGTGGAAAAGAAATTACTGGGAATATGAATTCCATTGTTTGGTTGAGTTTGGAATTGTAAGGAATAATGTGTATAATGACAAATATAACCCTACACAATAATAATAATAATAATAATCATAATAATAATAATAATAATAATAATAATAATAATAATAATAATAATAATAATAATAATAATAATAATAATAATAATAATAATAATAATAATAATAATAATAAGAGTAATTAATAAAGAATGATGAGGGTAAAATTGTCATATTAGTATTCCATGGAAAACAAAATACCTAGGATGAGCTAGGAATTTGTTTTCCTAATTCTCAAGGAAAACTTTTTCCAATGGAAAATGTTTTCCATCCAACCAAACAACATAAAACATCATTTTTCTTCACTTTATGGAAAATGTTTTCCATCCAACCAAACACCCCCTTAAATTATGGCAAATTACAACTATATGTTATATTAATATAATAAAAGTATAAATATAAACTTTTCATTTAATGTATGACAATATAAATTATTTTAGTGTAGGAATACAATTTGGTGTAAATGTGTTGGAGATGAAAAAATTTGATGTAAGAATATGCCGGAAATATTCCTTTTGGTGCAGAATTGGAGGGTTTTGGGTTGGAGATGATGGACACCATACGTAAAACATTCACCAACCGGACCATTGCAACACAAACTCAAAATTGGGCAAAACAAAAATGGACAAATGTGGTTCGGAACGCGTTTCGAACATGCGTTATTCACTTCGCCGGAGGCCGGCGCTGTACCTGTAACTAAAACGCATGTGGCAGTTGCGTTTAACGTATAATACATCAAACGCATCTGGTAATTGCGTATTACTGTATATACTCTCGGAGTCCATATATAATCACACATCGCCGGACCCCGGCGGCTATCGGTATCTTAAACGCATGCGACAGTTGCGTTTAACGTATAATACATCAAATGCATCTGGTAGTTGCGTATTACTGTATATACTCTCGAAGTCCGTATATAATCACGTCGCCTGACCCCGGCAGCTACCAGTATCTTAAACGCATGCGGCAGTTGAGTTTAACCTATACTACGTTGAACGCATTTCGCAGATGCGTATTATTGTATACTACAAGTATAGTTCAGACGCATTCCCTAAATGCGTCTGAGGTATACGATACCTCAAATGTAAGTCATACTTGCGTTTGAGGTTACCTCTAAAAAAAAATATTGACAAGGACGTTTGGGATAGACCTAAAACGCATGTCCCAAACGTCCTTTACATATTTTAGTCAAAAAAATGAAGACAAACATTTTGGAAAATGCATACTCCTATATGCATATTTCAATCATTTTTCAAGATGTTTACTCCCTACAAATCATGTATCATTTCCCTATGAGTTTTACTCCTTCATTTATACTCCCTGAGATGACAAATTAGAATTGATTATTTTTATCATATAAATTCATAGAAAAATGTCTATATTAAAAACATATAAGAAGAAATACAAGTTAAAATTTAAAATAGAAGTACACCAAATATTTTCCTTTTCCTATATACAATAAAAATAAGTTTTTCCTCCTTCAAATTTGTACTCAGTTGAATATTCTTGCATGTGTTGTCATCGGTCAAAATAATGAGAAAGTGCTGTTGACACGTAAGAAGAAGTTCGGCCGCCATTGCATTTCTCCTAACAGATATTATTAATGAAGGTGCCGAGTTTACTTTAATGATTCAATTTACCGTCGTTAAAAAATTTAAGATTCAAATTTTACGTTCATAATGTGAAAATTATGTTTAAAGTGAAAAGATCCCTTGTACACACGATGCATCAATAGTTAACTCTGTCTACTAAACTATTGAGTCATAATAATTACCTCAGATTAAATGTTTGGTCGAGGCGGAATGTAAATCCTTAGGATTTGAGATTCAACTTTTGAGATAAGAAGATATTATTAATGGTGGCGCCAAATACAAATATCCCACGCTCTCTCTCTCCCTTCATTATCCGCCACTCGTCTTCCCCAAACTCAAACTGCACATTCATGGCGGCTTTCACTTCTTCAACCCAACTCCTTCACTATTCCTCAATCCGGACATCGTTTCGTCTCCGAACAAGAAAATTCTCGTCGTCTTCCCACCCTCAAACTAGGATCAGAGCCAAACCCAGTCCTCCGATTGCCGCTAATCTAGATGCGAAAGAGGAGGATATAGTTATAGTGGGAGCGGGGATTGCTGGGCTTGCAACTGCAGTTTCGCTTCAGAAGCTTGGGATCCGAAGCCGGGTGCTGGAGCAGGCTGAGTCTCTGAGGACTGGTGGGACCTCGCTCGGCTTGTCCAAGAATGGGTGGAAGGTGTTGGACGCCATTGGAGTCGGTAATAGTGTCAGACCTCACTTTCTTGAAATTCAAGGGTAAGTCCTTTCTATACCACCAAAACAGGCTAGCTAAGTTTACACACTATTGGTACTATTGACTCAATAATCACAATATTACAATTTTGACTCTCGTGTATTTTATAATCAATATTTTGGTCCTTCAATTGTTTTTCAACTGTCAATATGGTTCCTAAATTTCAATTTCAACTAATTTGATCCTCGAATTATTTAAAATTTCGTCAATTAAACCATTTTAGAAACCAAAATGGTGATTTTCACATTTTTAAAATTTCGTTAATTTGATCTCTAAAAGGGTTTAATTGACAAAATTTTAAGCAATTTGAGAATCAAATTTTCTATCGAATTGACAATGTTGACATCCCACTAACTCCAATTGAACAAGTTTACACATCATAATTTTATCAATGCATGAAAACTTCTAAAGAAATTTGTAAGTTAATTTTTACTATATCATTATAACAATATCTATTGTAACTATATATTTTGAATTATTTATTATCATCCTCTATTTACAGGAATTGTAACAATTGTCATTGACAAACTCTCAAAACAATTTGTCTCAACAACGAATGTAAATTAAAAAAAAAATCAATGATTTTATTATTGTTGATGAAAAGTATGTACGCTACTTTATTACTCTTATTAAATTAAATAAATTAGTAGATACAACAAAAAATAATACATATGCATTTAATTAATTTAGAACTAGATGTCTATAATGCCTTTATTTTAAAAAATTATTCATTATAAAAAAAAAAAGAAGAGATATAATTTCATTATTTATATTATCTTTATTTTCTACAATTCAAAGATTCATTACCTTCAAATTTATTAATTTATTATATATTCACTACATTGTCCATTGCCTTCTTTTTACATTATTATCTTGTAATTAAATATCAAAGTTATAGTACAAAATATGTTATATATATTTATTTACCAAGTATTTTATACACGATGAATCCATCTATATATGCTACCACCAGTAACCCAATTGCACATGACACACTACCAATAAAAAAATAGGACATGTACTGAAGATGAAGACAATGACAATGCTACCCAAAAGAGAATTAAGAAGAATTAGAGAAATTTAAACCAAAATTAGTATTTATCATTTTTAGATTAGTATTTAGACTAGCGTTATTACAAAATTGTAAATATTTATTTTAGTGACAATAAAATCAATCGCTCATATATTATCTTGCATTTATATACTTTAAATTACCAATTTAAATAAACAAATTCAATATTTATTTACCTATGCATGAACATCTCTGATATAATATTGCATTGATATACTTTGAAATACTTATTTAAAATAATTATTGAGCATTATTTCATTTGCGCAAAGCACGTAAAAAAACTAATATACATAATAAAGGTACTATACGTGAAAGTAACCTATTGATTATCTTGGTCCATTATCAAAAACCATCAAATTGTAGTCATTGACACTAAAAATGACCTACACCCATTAAAAGATTGTTATTCAAATGTAATAAAAACAATCATCCTTGTTAATCCGAGGAATAAAGTTGTCACTTTGTTAAAAATAAGTATAATGAGTATTTTGTTGGAGGATTGTTTTGGTTCACCCAGCTCGTGTGACACTATTGTGCAAAGTAAGTAATACTGGTGGTTTGGACTTGTCCTTACCCTTAATCTAAAAGAACAAAATTGTCACTTTGTAAAAAGAATTAAAAGATGAAAATTAGCCATGCCCAAAATAAAGTCACTAAGGGGCATCCCCCAATAATTGTAGTTTTTGAAGAGTTTTTGCATTAGGAAGAAGAAGATGTGAGGAAAAAGAAAAAGGGAAAAAAAAAAAAACAAAACAAAGTTGAAAAGCATCATTAACGCGCACGACGGGGCGCTGGGTTGCGCTTCACGCAACCAGGATAAAAAAAAATTAAAAAAAAAAAAAAAGAGATTTTGGTGAGTCTCACAAGTCTGATAAAAATCAATGTCTTGTAGGGAGATTTTTTTTTTTCTCTCTCATCACCCTCTTTCCTCCACATAAGCTTGCTTTCTCAAAAAACCACACCACAAACTTCTAATGGTGATGCTCTAAATATGTATCAAGACCAAAATTACAATTTTTCATTGTTTGGGTTGTCGTTGTATGACACCTCATGCAAAATTTTTTAAAAATTATTAAGTCCAACTATTCAGTACCATCTCCCATTCTAGACTTAACGTTGACTAGAACAAATAAAATTTGTTGTTTTTAGCTTGTTGATTGTAAACATAACTTGAACTTGAAATTTCAATGGTCATTATTATTGTAAATACATTCTAAGCATTTGAAAAGTCATATTGTAAAATGTATTAATTTGACAATAAACCGACTTTTTGATAAAACCAGAAATATAATTAAACCATTCTAGACATTATATTATCAGCTAATAGTACATAAAACAAAGCGAGAAATGGACAATATCGCATTCAATACGACCTGTCCTAGAAATGAAATCCCTAGCAAGAAAAAGAGTTATGAATAGAGGAAACTAAAAATCTGCCAACAACATGGCTTATTGTGTAACAAAAACCTGCTATAATAACATATGCTTAGCTTCATTCTAAGACATCAAAATGTAGTTAACTTAACTAAATACCCCAGTTTCTCTACAGAGTCTCACATTCAAAATTTGTATGTTTAAACATTGGTCCAAGTTTCAGCAGCTTAGGCACAACCACATTGCTCCTGAGAGAACAAACAAGTGGATTATCACACTGCAAGAATGCTCCTGCAACATATGCCTTAATGGTTAATGGGAAAATCCTTGGCCACCTCTCCCTTTCATACTCTCTGAATGCCTCTTCCACAGAACCATTCTTCTTCTTGGACTTGATTGCCTCTGCAAGCTTCTTGGACAGAACTATGGAGTCCTCGAGCGCTGAGCGCACAGCACGCGGCACACCCCCTGCCCGAGATTGGGTTTCATGCATTGCCCACCAGCACAACCCTCCCGGAAGAAGCGGGAGGGCTTATCGCTGGCTACAGCCAACGATCAACGAAGGGGCTTCTTATAAGCGTCTCGTCTGGGATGTGGTTTATAATGTTTAGTAACTCGGGTGACATTAGATCTGAACACATGGACGGACAGAATCCATTCTTATTTCGCGCCTGGGCGAAGCATTCGCACCTGAGTGCGATTATATATATATATATATATATATATATATATATATATATATATATATATATATATATATATATATATATATATATATATATATATATATATATAGAGAGAGAGAGAGAGAGAGAGAGAGAGAGAGAGAGAGAGAGAGAGGAAGGTTCAAGTGCGGCAGTGCACTTAGGTGCGGCGGTGCGGTTAATTGTAGGCCTTTAGATTAGATAAATCCAATGAATCACATTCATCAAGGCTTTTCCGATATTTTCGCGCACGTTCTCACACTACGCCTGCAAGGTTAAAGTCGTCATTGGGCACCAGAATATATCAAATCATAGTGTTGTGTGTTTTATGTTTGTTATTGGTGCATTATTAACCTTACTGTGGTGTATTTGAGGATTCGTGTTGGTGCCAAGTTTAGGTGCGCCCGCGCCTTCTCATGCGGTCAGTGCGGTCGTGTGTGTGTGTGCGCCGCTCCCGTCTCGCCCCGTTGCCATCTTTACGCTCTCTGAGTGCCTGATGGGCGCCTAACGATTTTCTTAATCATGGCTGCTGATTGTAAAAAGAAGTTTGATAAATTAGTTGTTTGTTAATAGTTGATTACATGAAAAATAATTTTTTAAAAAAGTTGATCGAAAATCCATTTTGAGTAATTCTTTTAAATTTTAAGGTTTTAAAAGAAAAAACTAATTAATCAAATAATTAATAGTAGTTAAATAAGTGAGATTGATAAGCTAATTATGTTACCAAATAGAAATACGCGTTTAAAAGAGGTAGCGATATGATTCATAGCTTTAATTAACATCATCGATGACCTACACTTGAATCTCCAGAAACTGGGTTCTGACATTATTGCCGACTCCAATGGCGTCCAACACCTTCCACCCATTCTTGGACAAGCTGAGAGAGATCCCGCCAGTCCTCAGAGACTCAGCCTGTTCCAGAACCCGGCTTCGGATCCCAAGCCTATGAAGCGAAACTGCAGTTGCAAGCCCAGCAATCCCGCATCCCACTATAACTATTTCTTCTTTCTTTGCATACTCTAGGTTAGCGCCAATCTTCAGAGGACTGGGCTTGGCTCCGATCCTAGTTTGGGGCTGGGAAAACCACGATGAGAGTGTTCTTCTTCCAGTTGTTCGGATTGAGGAACCAAGGAGTGGGGTCGAAGAGGTGAAAGCCATGGATGAATGTGCAGTTTGTTTTGAGTTTGGGGAAGACGAGGAATGAAGGGAGAGAGGGTGGGGTATTTGTATTTGGCGCCACCATTGATATATAGCAGTTTAGTTTGGGAGAGTTCGCGGGTAAAATCACTAGTTCAGTAGGAGTATTTGAAAGAAGAGATCAAAGTTTGAATTTGTATTTGAAGTTTGAATTTGTATTCGCTGGGCTCTCCAAGAGAGAAAAGACAAACCGAAGGCAGAAACTCATGAAGGACAACAAGGTAACTATGGATGGCGTAGGAAACTTTGTGGAGTACAGACCTTATGAAGAAGGCAGTGGAAAACGTTTTGAGGGTTGCAATGTCCCTATCTGGCTGAAGACAAAGGACAATCACACTAGACAACATCACATAAGCACCCAAAACGAAAGAATCAAGAGACAAAACAGAGAACTATGGGAGAAACACGAAGAAGAAGCCCGAAAGAGAGAGCATGAACTGGAGGAAAGAGAAAGAGTAAAGAAGCTTATTGAAGATCTCACGAAAGTAAACAAACACTCTGAGCATGGTGTCATCTACAATGCAGCTTTCAAAGTGCATGCCGAGTCTGGAAAAAGCTACAAAGAAGGAATGAATTCCTTCGAACTCATCTCATGGTGGAAGGCTGGAATAATTGCAGGAGCAAACATTCGCGAGGCTTACAACAATTACATAAG